GACAAAATAATTGATACCTATTGCAGCCGCCATCTTGGATCTACATTTCAACAGCACTATCGGCTTCAACATACTCAAAAACTATGAAAATGACACCCATGACGAAAAAATTGATACCTATTGCAGCCGCCATCTTGGATTTACATTTCAACAGCACTATCGGCTTCAACATACTCACAAACTATGAAAATGACACCCATGACGAAAAATTGATACCTATTGCAGTCGCCATCTTGGATTTACATTTCAACAGCACTATCGGCTTCAACATACTCAAAAACTATGAAAATGACACCCATGACGAAAAAATTGATACCTATTGCAGCCGCCATCTTGGATTTATATTTCGATAGCACTATCGGCTTCAACACCCTCGAAAACCATGAAAATGACAGCGATGTTTTTTATTAGTGATCGATGCACCCATGACGAAAAAATTGATACCTATTGCAGCCGCCATCTTGAATTTACATTTCAACCAGCACTATCGGCTTCAACATACTCAAAAACTATGAAAATGACACCCATGACGAAAAAATGATACCTATTGCAGCCGCCATCTTGGATTTATATTTCGACAGCACTATCGGCTCCAACACCCTCGAAACCCATGAAAATGGCACCCATGACAAAAAAAATTATACCTATTAGAAAAAATTGGTACCTATTGCAGCCGCCATCTTGGATTTACTTTTTGTTACCACTATTACACTATCAGCTTTAAATAGCCTCAAAACCGCCGCATTCTGGATGTACAAATAAGTTCACGAATTCATTACGATCGATCACACGGACTTATAATTCGATAACGATTATAACAATGACAATAAAAGTCATTCTTACCTTTCAAAATCAGCAGGAAGCTTAAAATAAGATAGCTCCGGTTTTGATGAAGCCGAGTTCAAACAGCCGTATACTACGCAATACGTTCGTGGCATTTTTAATCTTGAGGCGACACTCGCTACTGAGAGCACCGCGACGAGCGCTTAGAAGTCTCGTCGTTGCGCATGTTTGTGTGAGTGTGCCGTTTCGAGCGTTTGTAGGAAGTTTCCGTACTGTTCCTACTATATATTTACTGTGCTGCTGCCTTGCTTGGAACAAAATGAATCCAGCGTAGCCAGCAAGCAATTGTTATTAATAATTATTAACGTACGTCAAGTCTATACATTGTCGTTTTGCATCGTGCGTCGTGTATGACCTTGGCGGGACATACAGCAAGATGGACCGTGAATAAGATGCTTGAGTTCATCACTACAATTATTATTACTTAATTACTAAATCTATGATTTAAACTAATCTATGACTAATAGTAGTCATAGATTAGTTTAAACTGGGCCAAACATAATCATAGATTATTAAATATATAGATATTTAATAATCTATGATTATGTTTGGCCCAGTTTGGCCTTTATGGTCAAACAGTATATTTAATCACGACAATTAAATTATGCCTTGAATCTAGGGCCGACTTTTCAATCGTCAGATAAGTTATCCGTCATATAAATTATTAACTTACTGATTAAAAAAGAAATAGTAATACACTTTAGGGTTATAATAGTAGTAAGCTAGTAAGCGGACTGACTGATCCTATGTGAGAGAATAGTGCCTGAGGTAATTTTTCAAAAAAGACTGTTACACAAGTCACCAGGACTGTATAGAGCCACACTCCAAGTACTCTCAGTACTTTTTAAGGTACTAAATACAAGCTCCCTATCTGATGTAAAGAAGAGAAAACTAAATACTATAATTAAAAGACAAGAATAGAACAATATTATAGGAAAATAAAACCATACGTGGAACTATGTACCAATAATATAAAGTGATATTTATACGAGTAAATTGCAGAAATGCACCTATAACATTATTATTATTGACGCAAGCGAGTGTAGGTGAGTGTGCGTGTTCATGTGCATGAGCGTGTACGTGCGCGCGTGCTGCGTGAGTACGTGCGTGTGTGTATATTTGTGAGGAAGAGAGCGAGTGGGTGTGAGCAGGGCGGGATTAATTATGTCGGGGCCCTTAGGCAAAGGAATTCTCGGGGCCCCTTTGCAGCCAGCATAAAGGGATATGAGTAGCATCACCGGATTGATGCTTATCTCCTCAGGAAACTATAGTAAAATATTTGTATTTGGGCCTATTGAAATTGTCTTAATGAATAGGTTATAGTGATGTACGTATAATGTACGATTAATGAATAAGTGATGATCCAGATCTCAATAGGTAAAGTATGTATATGAGATAAGATCGTCTCATTATGGAGCAAGAAAGAAAAATAAGACGGGGGTGTTTTAATTTTAATTTTATTCTTGATAAATGCAAATAAATATAATAAACGAAAGAAAATAGTTTTGTTCTACTACTCGATACTACTTAGGTGGTTCTGTTCTGTAAGTATGAAGTATTTTATCAACTGATAGTATGCGTCGCTAAAACGTAATAATACCTATTGTCACTGAGGTTACAAATTTTCCAATTAAATTTTCTCTGTATGAAACATTTTCCATTATATTTGTGCGCACACGGGCCCCTACCCGATGTGGGGCCCCTAGGCAGTTGCCTACTCTGCCTAATGGTTAATCTGGCCCTGAGTGTGAGACACATATACATAAGTGTAAGGATGCGAGCCAAGGTTAGGATAGAAAATATTTTTTTATTTTATTTTATACGCATCTTCTTAGATAGTGGGAATAAGTAGACTCTTGGTAGCTTTTTAGTCTAATGTTTTAAGATTTTATGTGACAGATATCTTACAATCTCTTTTTGAAAGCTGATAAAAGTTAATAATCACTTTCAATATATTATATAAGTAACTTCCAAGAAAACAAAAAACTTGCGTGATGAAGTGGTTCTGAAAATTTGATCAGAGCAGTCAGTACCTTTCCTCCATTTACGTTTAGAAATTCCGGGTAGTATTGCAATAGATAATGTTTTTTTTAGAATTTTATGAATAATATGCTTAAGACTGTCTGAGAGGACGTTCCAGCCCCGATAAAAATGTACATTGCGTAGCGTAGTAGAAGATAGGATAACACGCTGGACCCTTTCAGCCTCAAGAAGCAAGTATTCCCTTGGAACTTGCTACAAGCAAAGTGATGGAGGGGTTTCCTCCGGTTTCCCCGGTTGCGTTTCAAATGGAGATCCTGGGCCCCTCGTGAGTTCAGCCTGTAGAGACCGGCATGATATTTTCGTTTCCCCCGCAGCGTTACGTAGATCTATGTGGATGTCCTCACGATACAAAAAAACCCTCGGATTTATACCAACTGCAGAAAGTTGTACCCTCTGTTCTTGACCGAGTGTACAACCGATATATTCTTACGCTCACTAGTTGTGAACTTATTTGTTACATAGATGGTCACACAGTGTCATCATAATGAGGGCATCCACGACTTTTTCTGCCACCAAGATGATGCCACTCTACAATAAGGTTAAATATTTGTACTCAATTCCACAGTTTTTTTATGTGTGTTACATCAGATGTCAGAACTTTTTCCTTGGTGAATCGATTTTGATGACTCACGTGGTTTTATATAAATTTAATCTAGATCTGACCAGTAGTTTGTGAGTTATTCTCAATAATACGTATTTAATTGACTTCGACTATATTCTCATTTTATTTATATTGTAGTCGGTTGTACAAAATTTTTAATTTTACAACTTATTAACAAATTAACTACTCCCGCTATGAAATCTGTCAAATATTTCACCTCATTCTAAAGTGTTACAGTACAGCAGTAGTTTATAAATACCTTGATTTCTGCTCAATACTCCCAAACCGAATCTTAGGGATTTGGTTATGGGTATTAGAGTATTGGAAAAAAAAACAATACTAAGTAATTTGAACGTGACATTTAATTACTAGTGTCTAAAGCTCTAAAGACTATGGTCTCTAGTTTTGACGGGAACTTGACCGACGGCGGTTTGCTGCCTCTTTCCCGTAGGGGTAGGCAGAGACCACTTCTTTCCACTTGCTACGATCCTTACATACTTGTTTCGCTTCGTCCACTTTCATTATTCCCTTCATACATGCTCTTCGGTTTAGGGTATTCTTGACCTGGCCTTTTTTCAAGACGTTCCTGATTTGATCTAGAAACTTCCGCTTAGGTCTACCCCTTCCAACACTTTCATTCTCACTCGCCTTATACACCTTTTTCGTCAAACGTTCTTCATTCATTCTCTCGACATGGCCAAACCATTTCAGCATACCTTTCTCAATTTTCGTCACTACATCTTCCTTCAGACCACAACGTTTCCTTATCTCGCTATTTCTTATCCTGTCACTCAGTTTAACTCCTATCATACTTCTTAACGCTCTCATCTCAACTGCATTTATTCTGCTTTCATGTTTCTTCTGCCATACCCAACTTTCACTTCCGTACATGAGTGTCGGAAACAACACCTCCTCATGCACAGCCAAACGAGCCTTGCTAGACACCTTCCGACTGCTTATAAAGGAGTACAAAGCTCCATCCACCATGTTTCCTGCATTCACTCTTCTTTCAATATCACTCTGACACTTTCCATTTTGGTTTGCTGCTCATGTATTATTGTTTAAATAATGATTTGAAGTGGACTTTGATATGTAAAAGTGGTTCAATTTTGTGTATTAAGTGTCTACGCATGTGAACTATTAGTGGAAACGGTCAAACAAGTGCTCTAATGGTGATGTGATTCTCGAAATAAGGTTGTCTGCTCAGGCGCCTTGAGATACCATTGCCAGCTGTCTGCTGGCTCAAGTTGCCGTCAAAATCTCCCAAGCACTTCACGATGTGACTCATCAACATATTGTGAAGCAGTGTACTATGAAGGATAATTATACATTGAAAAATGGAAGACATGGCTGACGCACAAACCTTGCAGGTCAAGAAATAAAAGAAAAAAAAGTCTATGGTCTAAAGTGACATTGTCAAAAAGAAAACTATGAAATGTCATCACATTCTTTGAAGAAAGAGAATGGTGCGATTGTAATGTAAATAAGAAAGAATTAATTTCATTTCTCTACAATGGAAACCATAAATCCTGACTCCGAACTAGACGAAACATGTAATGTAAACGGTGACTGCACACTGCTTATGAAAAATCAATCCATGGACTTGAATCATGCCAAAAACATCGATGACATATCTACGCCTTCCGAGTTAAAATTCGACGAAGGTATTGTAAACAATCTTTATTTCTGTATGATCAATTGTGTACTGTTCAGTTTTCAGTTTACCTTATGTCTGATAATATCTACACACATCGTTTTATATAATCGAAAGTTTAAATTACCTACTTTTCCTTTTATGTTGAAGATTTTGAATTCGAAGATCCCGATGTGACTGCAAAACGAAAGGAAATAGAAAAATGCCTGGAAAACCCTAACTTAGTAAATCTAGAACAGTGGCAAAGTTTTGCAAAAAGTAAAGGAGGCTTAATAGCAGGTATTAAACAATTAATATTATACTTTATTTTCATTTAGATTATAGATACATAATACCTTCGATTTTTTTAAACATTATCCTCACAGTACAATGTTCTGTATGGTGAAGGCGGTTTAAGCACATAAATTGCACAATGACACACATCCAGACACTGAACTATTGTTTGGAAGCCATACAAATACTAGTTCCATGCAGGTTTCGACCTATAGCCGGTACAACTTTCCATTGACTCCCATCGAGTTGGGGGTTGATACGTATTTTTACAGAAAAGTTACATTATTATAAGCACACACACAAAGTTACAATATGCGGAAGTGTGTAATTTTTGAGAAAAAAGTTATTGAATATCAATTATTCTTACATTGTTTATGTCAAATCCTACAGTAAAACTGACACCATTTTATTATTGTTATTGTCAGTAGGGATGTGGGGGAGGGGGAGGTTCAGGGGAAGCCCTGGGTACCCTTCCCCCGTTGCGGAAATGTATAGTTTATGAGTAATATTTTGTTTTGTAAAATCATAATCATACCTTTTTACACAGTAATATTGACTCAAAGTTACTTCTGTAACGGCTTCGGCGCTGCGGGAAGTGCAGCACCTTCACCCTTGCGTAGCAAATCACAGGCATCCATGCTCACCTCCGTAGCTTCAGCTTGTTGGTCACCTTCGGCGACCAGCCTCAGCCGCTCTGGCTCGTCCGATGCCTACGATTTGTTACAGCAGGCGGAGACTGCTCCCCCTACGCGCCTCCGGCTCTTTAAAACCACTCTAGGGGTAGGACAGACTCGTACTAGGTGGAGTCGGAGTCAATCAATTCGGTTCTTTGACATAAATTGAACCTAACCTATTTTATTTGTTATCTGCCCTAATTGGTACTGTTAAAATAAAACAAAATTCAATAAGAGATCATTTATTATGGAATCTTTCTTGTTTTTCATAAAATGGAATTATATTTACATACATTATAAATGCAAACATAAAAAAATATAGATATTTTAGAAATCGATTTTTTATGAATCGATACATCAGCTTACGATTTGAATCGATTTAAAAATTGACCCTTTTCGGAAAGAATCGACATCCCTACTGACGACAATGACATTACAAAATGGCATCAGTTTTATGGTAGGATTAGATATAAACAGTGCAAGAATAATTGATTTTCAATAACTTTTTTCTCAAAAATTACGCGTTTCAGCATGTTGTAACTTTGTGTGTGTGCTTATAATAGTGTAACTTTTCTGTAAAAATACGTATTAACCCCCAATTCGACGGGAGTCAATGGAAAGCTAAGCCCTATAGCCCTGTAGCTCCACAACCAAACATTAAGCCACTAAACAACAGAGCTTTCAAAAATTTTGCCCCAATTGAAACTAGAAAAGTATTGTGACTCATGTGCCCGGCCATTTTATGTTTTTACGCTTCAAGTATCAGGGGCCGTTCGGGAGGTTGCACAATACCAGTAGACACTAATGTAAACAATGATATCTTTTTAATTTTGTATACTAGCTATATATAAAACTTACATGAATTGATTCATTATAAATTAAGCTATTTAATTCTACTTTTAAATATTAAATTCTATTTTTTATAATATTATCATATCTCATTTCAAAATTGTGTGACATAATTTTGCCGGGTTTCTTGTACATGAAGGGTAAGGATGATGAAATTAAACTATTATATAAAAAGATCAACCCCACAATTTTTTTTCATGCAACAAACCTTTTAATATTTATCTCCTTTTATGCGGCAAAACAAAAGCAGGTTAAAACAATCGAAAATGTTCATTTTGAAATGTCTTTAATCTATGTTGTTCTAAGATTAAAACAGCTTTTACTTTTTAATTTAATAGTGATTGCTTGCCAAATGGGCACACGGGGTTGGCTGATACATGGGCATGCGTAAGCTATTTAACCCCCTATGGGGGCCATTACACATGAGGGGTTAGCTAATTCATTTATTCATAATTTTACATTATTTAATAATAATCTATATTTTACATAACAGATGAATATAGAAGAAGAATCTGGCCTATGCTGGTGGGTGTTACACAAGATGAGATGACGGATCCTCCATCACTAGATGAATTATCAACACACATTGAATATAATCAAGTGTGTACCTTTTTAATTTTATCTGTTTTGTATATTTATTTGTGCCATAACTTCGTCTATAGTAAACATTTTTTTTAGTTCTGTTTTAGTACACATGTGGTTATTATGTGACATGACATTATAAAATGCAAGTGTAATTTTAGTATTTTCAAAATAACTTAAAAATTCAGTCTTCTTCTGAGTCTGATGATGGTAAACCTAATCTAGCTCTGCAATTAAAATTCACAGTTTGCCTAAGGTGTGTTAGACATTAGTAGGAGGTCCTAATAGTTATATTTGTCTGTCATATCTTTTGTTAAATATAGTAGTAGTGTTTTTAATATTATTTTAGAGTTCGGAGTCATAAGCCTCCAAGTGAAATAAACATAAGTAATACAAATTTTAGGTGGAGTTAGATGTGAAACGTTCTCTGAAACGGTTTCCTCCAGGTATCCCCTATGAACAGAGAGTTGCATTGCAAGATCAGTTGACTGTACTCATACTTCGTGTAATTATAGAGTACCCACACTTAAAATATTATCAGGTAATAGTCTTTCATATTTATTATAGAGATAAGGCAAATGTCAGTAAAAGGAGAATGGGATTTTTGGGCCTGAAGTTAACTAATTGATTTATACTTTAAAAAATTGGCCATATTTTTCTTAAGTAAAATACAAAAAAGTAGCTCTTTTTACAATCTAGATTTCGAAAAAACAATAAAATAAGAAATAAGTTAGAAAATCGATTGTAGTGTATTCTCGTTTCTGAATGTTATCTTCCAATAGAGGACTTCTCATTTTGAAACTTGACTTGACAGTTGAAACTTCAAACTATTTACTCGTACTTAAAAGAAAAAGACAGATTTTCGATTCGATTTTAAACGAGCGCAATATAATCGATTAAGAGCACTGAGAGCATTTTAATATCTATTTGTGATTATTTTTCTGTGTTAACTAGGGAGATAAAAAATTGCTTACATATCTACAAAATAATAATAATAAAAAATACAAAATATCAAAATTCCAACAAGTAAAAGTTACAACAGTAACTCAAGTAGGTAATACATCTCAGATCAATATCCCTAATATTCACCTCACTTAGTTGTTGTTGTTTTAACTTTCGTTAATCGTGTCACGATTTTGTTTCATTATTAACCACAGCTTTTTTAGTGATTTTATACTGATCCTGCTTTTATATCTTTAAGTAATTATAGTGAAAAATAGCCTGTTACAGTGTAATAACAGTGAAAAATCACTTGTTACAGTGTAGGTAATAGATAATCTCACTTTTACTTATTCTAAAATAACAGCTCCTAGATTGACAAATCTTGCCAGATTTTCAGCTATGAATTGTTTATATATACGCTTTCAAATGATCCTACTTTCATCTTGTTAACACTTGGGCCCAAGAATGTATGGAGACGTCTCCTTCTCCTTTAATATTTGTTTCTTATTTTGTGTATAATTGTCATATTTATATATAACTCTTGAAACTGAACTGAACTCCTCCTAAAAGGCTGGACCGATTTTGATGAGATTTTGTGTGTTATTAAGTTGATTAGAGAATGGTTTAGATTCACAATTGGGCTCTCTAAGTGGCACTGTTGTCGAGAGCCAGAAATTATCCATGCGAACCGGGGCCGAATCGCTAGTTATGTATAAATAAACAAATTTTTATGACTACAATATTATATTGAAGTATTGACTATCATTGTCAATCCAAGTTTTGTCATTTTAATGGAAGTTTGTTTATACCTCTTCCAAGGGACATGAATCAATAAACTCTTATTTCTGATAAAGATGTGTAGAAGCAAAATCCAGAGGGTATGGTCGATACAGGAGTATTGTCAAATTTTATGACATTTCCTAGTGCAGTATGTGTGCATTGTCATAGAGAAATATAGGACTATAGCAATGAACCAGTCTTAATTGCTTAGTAGTAAGCTGTTCATAATTGTTTGCAATTCTTGACCATTTGCCCCTACAATAACTATTGTGCCAGATCTTAAGGAGTTGTAATGAATATTACCAGCATATACTCATCATACAGTCGCAAGCAGCTTCTTTTGACGAAATGTGCATTTGGCATGTGGTTTAGCAGTTTTCCTAATATAAAAACTTTCCGATTATCATACAATATCCACTTTTCATTTTTTTTATAGAATAAGGGTGACAACGAGCGCACAGTCCACCTGATGGTAAGTGGATGCTGAGACCACTAGACATCTACATTTATCGTCGATTGAGATTCAAAATGCAGATGTCTGTCACCCCTGAAGATAAAGATGGAATGCCTTGTTTCCAGTAAATAAACTGATCTCTGGATCCTACACTCACCATACGAAACACAGCAGCTTTAACATTGTTATATTATGCTATAGCTGCTATTTTACACTGTTATTTTGTGAGAGTGTAGTCTTCCCCAGGTTGTGCCGACCCATTTGTGCTACAATATAGCTGTAGCATGGCTCTACCACATATAAATCATTACAGGTCACAATCCAATTCAGAATCTTCTTATTTTTTCTTGTCTTTTTTAAATTTTTCCATGGTCATAAAGATTATAATCTTTATGACCATGACTAAAAGCTTAAAAAACAACCTGCAGGAAACCAAATAAACAACTCTCTGTATTAGTGTCAGATTGCTATCCCAACAGACTAATGACAGGGAGGGATTAGAGTACAGTAGACAGTGCATCCGTTCTTGGGAACACAGCATATGCTCATAAAATATAACCTTGTCATGCACAGATTGCTAGTTCCAACAATAACGAATTTCAGTCAGACTGACGGCCTTCACTGAAATTTGTTCTGGTGGACATTATTGTTTTACTGTGTTTGATATATTTACCATGTCATCAACCCTTTAAGTCCATCAACTTAAGCTAACTTAAACGTTTAGTGGCGGTGTATGCATATCCACTATGCCATATTGTCCCATGGGTATGGTAAGAGGCGACACAGGGAAACAAGCTAGGAGAAGGACAGCAGCGTCTTCCAAATAACTTATAAAAAACTGGGTTTGCCACTACGTTCAGGAGTGGACTTTTGATAGGATGTAATGAAAATAAAATAAAAAAAAGCTTCCAACAAGTTTGTTTTTAAAAGTCAAGTCCGTAAGTATGTGAAAAAAATTGTTGCAAGTTTGAACTAACAGAGCTCTTATTTCCATACCCATATGTATATTTCATATTTGTTCTGACATAGATAATATTTATATGTATTGTGTATATATGTAGTGTATGCATGTATATGCGTATGTATGTATTTATATATGTATATATTGTATGTATTTAAGTATATATGTCTGCATGTGTGTATATGTATATTTATATGTATATACAATTTATTTTTAGCACTTTCTATTTTGATTACTGCTGCACCGCCTCTTGTTTGTATATCTCTGTTTAGCCTAATGGTTGACTGGGTGAGAATGCCCTATGGCATTAAGTCCGCCATATGTACAACTTTGTGCATGAATGATTAAATAAATAAAAAAATCGTAACTTATGCAAGGCTTTTGTCAAGCACCAACTGATATAAATTTCTTTAAAGCTTTGGCTATACTTAATAAATTGGGAAGAAGCATGTTAGTGAAGGCAAAACTGATACCTCATACTACCATACCTTTGCACTGGTCATGCTACTTCCCACACCAGACTGTAAAATATCAGTTCTTTTTTATTAGATTGATTTTTCTCCATCAGTTGGTGACCACAGTAGATCGACAATCATCAACATACTGCGTCAGAGTACTTAGGCAATCGGCAAAGAGTTTGGTATACTCTGTCTCACATGCCTCTTATATATTTCAGTAATATAAACATTTTTTAGATTTCATTCGGATAATGCAGTCTGAAGAAGTTGTAGATTGTTTGTCCCCAATATGTTTTAGTGTAAAACTTTTTAGGAATCCAATTAATGCAGATGAACTAAGATAGGTATACTGACCTATCTTAGTTCATCTGCATTAATTGGAGCAAGGGATTGTTACAAGTTAAGGCAAACAAGGAGCTGCAGAATTTATTATTGCACTCATGAGTGATAACATTTGAATTTTGCTTAAAACTAAACAAGTTGAAAAATAGTTTGTTATCAAATTATTTAAATGTAATGCTTGCACATAGTGTTACGCCTATATTCCCTGAAGAGTGGGCAGAGTCCATAGAGTAGTGATTATAGTACCATGTTCAAACCTAAAAATATGGATTTCGATGAAAAATCGTAAGAGAAGTGATTGGCATTACCCGATAGAATAGAATGGAATAAAATCCCATTAGTCGCCTTTTTCGACATGCTAAGCAAGTAACACAGTTAGCACATTCTGTTTTGTTATATGTCCCACATAAACATAGCACCTACGAGTTCCAGACCAAGTGCTTGTGCTTTTGCTATATGAACTATGTTTTCCAGGGCTATCATGATGTGGCGATAACTCTGCTGCTGGTGTGCGGCGACCGGGCGTCGTTTCCTTTACTATGTCGGTTATCGTATGGACCAAAGGCCCCCCTAGCGCCTTTCATGCAGGCTACAATGCAACCAACGCAACACCTCCTCAATTACATGTTGCCAGTTATACGTCGTGCGGATGATAAGTTGGCGGATTACCTAGATAAGTAAGTAACAAGAAACGTAAGTAGGAAAGTTTTATTTTAAGGGTTCCTAAAAAAGTTTAACGTGGTAGAGCCATACTGCAGCTATATTACTGGTACAGTTGCAGCACGAATGGGTCGGCTCGACCGGAGGAGGAACACACTCTTACAGAACACCTGCGTAAAATAGCAGCTTAACGCTGCTATATTTCGTATGGTGAGTGTAGAGAACCGGAGACCCGTTTACTGGAAACGAGGCATTCCATCTTAATCCTCACGGGTGACAAGGTATCTGCATTTTGACTCGTAATCTAGGATAGATTTAGATGTTTATGGGTCACAGCAACCACTTACCATCAGGTGGACTGTGTGCTCGCTTGTCACCCTGATCCTGTAAAAAAATCTTAAAAAGGGGAGGTGTGGGCAATTAGTGAATTAGCTTCTCGTCGGAAGCCCCGAGCTGAAGGGTCCAAGGGTCTCCGTAATTTAGTTTAGTTTACGATGGGCTGTTTTCCGCAACTCCACGTCTATGCGCGTATTTTACGTGTGGGCAGGAATAATGTGATTATTCGAGCCATGAGATCTCCCCGAAGAAGCTCAACAGTCCTTTGATGTTGCAATCGGGGAGTGATCTCGGCGTGCCGAGATGTTTAGCCCTGTACGTAGCGACCTCCGAAAATTTCAGTAGCACGTGAGCCGCCGTTTCTTCCTCCCCCATACATGCCCTGCACAGGGGACTATCTGTAACACCTATAGTAAATAAATGTTTGTTAAAGGTGCCGTGTCGTGTGATAGCACTTGTTACTATCCTGATCTGCTGCTTGTTCAGTCTCATTAGAACTTTGATTAAACAACTGTTTATTTCAGGCAGGGACTCCCTAGCTTGTCTACAGTCTACTAGATATTTCCAAAGCTGAGCGTGTTGATTAGTGAAGTGTCTATGTACCAGTGAACGAATGTTACCAAAGGGGATTGGTATAATTGGTTCTGGCCCAATAGTGGCCAGAGCCGATCCTCTTCTGGCCAGTTCGTCTGCTGCATCGTTGCCTCTGGATCCACTGTGTCCCTTTAGTCATTGCAGAGTCACATTGTTATTTTTATATACCTCATTTAATTGTTGATGGCATTCATATATTAGTCCCGAATTCACCACATTGCAACTCAGAGCTTGTCGTACCGCCCTACTGTCGGTCAGTATTCTGATGGGGAAGTCATTAACCATCCTAGCATCTATTGCTATGGCCGCTTGAATAATACCCATACAAATCCGCCTGAAAGACTGTGTTATAGGTACCCAGCGGTGTGCATATATGGATATTGAGGTCTTCAGAGAAAGTTCCAAAACCTACACCTTCATTTGTTTTAGAACCATCGGTGAAAACTCTAAGCTCTTTTGGGCTTAATCCTTCCGGCTGGCTGGTTTCATTTAATTGTATCTTGTACTTCTTATCGAATACAAATTGTTTAAGAATCTTATGTTTATTTTTTACGTGGCAGAGCCATGCTGCAGCTGGGTTGGCTCGACCGGGGAAGGACCACGCTCTCACAGAATACCAGCGTAAAATAGCAGCTTAATGCTGCTGTGTTTTGTATGGTGAGTGTAGAGAACCGGAGACCCTTTTTACTGGAAACGAGGCACTCCATCTTAGTCCTCACGGGTGACAAGGCATCTGCATTTTGATTCGCAAATGAGGATAGATGTAGATGTCTATGGGCCACAGCAACCACTTACCATCAGATGGACTGTGTGCTCGTTTGTCACCCTTATCCTATAAAAAAAAATCGTACTTGGCTTGTAAGATGGAATTTTTGACTGAATTCTGTCAATTATGCCTGTATGAGGGACACTATTGTTACTCCAAAGATTTAGGGTCCTAAGTCTGATGGCAGCTAAAGTCGCTTCTTGTGTCAGGGTCTCCGTAGACTTCTAATCTAGTTCCCACAGCCACAGTAACTATGGTTGTTGGATGGTCAAAGCAATATCTCGTGCATTTGACATTCTCTATTACTATTCAGTCAAACCACCACAATAATTTTGTTACCAGAAAAATTAAGAGTATATTCAGTAAGTGAAATAAAACATATAAATTAAAAGAAAATACAAAGTTTTTTAAAAAATGAAATTTTTTAAAAAACTTTGTAATTTCGATAAAAAAGTTTGTTTGTCAGAGTTTCATTGACAATATGTTGAATGATTATAGTATTCTAGTGTAATGAAAAATATCTAATATAGTTATAGTACTGTGTCCCTTTCGGCCGGTATTTTTTAAAATGAATTAAAAGCAAATAACTTTGTCAAAATAATTTAAATTTATGTTTTGAGATATGTAATAGGTCAATGGTACTTTATAAGCCCTTAAATTTTTTCTGGTAATTAAAATTTATCATCTTTAGGCGGCATTATTGGATGGGAGTAATTAATTGTTGTAACTTATTATAATATCTGGTAATATAATATAGTATTTATTAAATCGTTCTTCGACCAAACATTATCTCAGCAAACCAAAGAATTATTATAGATCTGCAGGTTATATTAAAGTTATACTCGAACGACGTCGTGGGTATAAGTAGTACAATCATAATAAGAGGCCTAGAGATTGCAGATGTTACTGTCCTGTCTATTTATTGTCCTGTAGTTTTCTTTAATTTCCTTTTTACTAACTAAAAGCCTTTTTTAAATATTAAAGCAATAAACGAATTAACGGTTTAAACCTGATGCTAAATGACTATGCTGCAACCCATGAACATTTGGAACTATGTCGAAATTAAAGGTAAGAGGTTAAATGTCTCTGAGAATTAAGATGGAATGCTTCCTTGCAGATATACTAGTTTTTCATACCTATAACATTGGTTGCAGTACTCCTTGGTGGCAGAAATAGACAGGAGGATCTTTATTTTTTAATAAGCCACTTTGCAGTTTTATTGTGGTTCTAGCACGAATTCGACGCATTTGAATTTCTGCCAGAACCGGGGTTAAATAACAGTTTTTTATTATATTAATACTGGTGTGTTTTCGTATGGTGAGTGTAGAGAACGGGAGACACTTTTTCCTAGAAACGAGACATTCCAGCATAGTCCTCAGGGGTGAGACAACGCATCTGGTTTTGGATATTTAATCGAGGATAAATGTAGATGTCTATGAACCACAGCATTTACCTACTATCAGGTGAACTGTGTGTTTGTATGTCACCCTGATCCTATAAAAAAATCTACCCAGGTTTTTTTTTTATAGGAGAGGGGGCAAACGAGCATGCGGCTCACCTGATGGTAAGTGACTACCGTCGCCCATGAACAACCGCAACACCAGGGGAATTGCAGATGCGTTGCCGGCCTTTTAAAAAGGAGTAGGCTCTTTTCTTGAAGGTCCCTAAGTCGTATCGGTCCGGAAAAATCGCTGATGTTAATCGATTCCACAAGGAAGTCGTGCGAGGAAGAAAACATCTTCTAAATCGCACAGTGGTGGACCGCCAATCATCCAGATGGTGTGGATGGTATCGGGAGTTCTGCCGCGATGTGCGTTTATGAAATTTGGCGGCTGGGATTAATCCGAACAATTCCTCAGAGCACTCCCCATGGTAGATGCGAAAGAAAATGCAAAGAGATGCAACATCTCTTCTCAGTGCCAATGAATCGAGCCGATCGGAAAGGGCTCGGTCGTCGACGATTCGAGCCGCTCTGCGCTGGATGCGGTCAAGTGGAAGGAGCTGGCACTGGGGAGCCCCTGCCCAGAGATGGGAACAGTATTCCATGTGGGGCCGAACCTGCGCCGTTGCACGTTGCAGGCGGTGTGCCGGCATGAAATACTGTCCCGCTCTGCTGAGCACGGCAAGCTTTTTAGAGGCCAATTTGGCCTTCTCTTCCAAGTGACCACGAAATTGCACCACACTCGATATGTCGACTCCGAGGATACCGATACTGGCTGAGGCAAGAAGGGGAGTGCCTTGAAACTGAGGAGATACGACAAAGGGGTTCTTTTTAGCGGTAAACGTGCAAACTTGTGTCTTCTGAGGATTAAACTGGACTAGATTTAGTCGCCCCCAATCCGAGACTTTGTTCAGCAAAGACTCGACTTCAGACAGGTAGACTTTTAGGCAAAAATCGCCTGTAACGTTACAACTTAATGAGGGGGGTGGACCCATTGTTAATACTTTCGCACTCACTTGCTTCAGGGCGGGAGTGGGCACGATGTTCGCACTGCCGTGGTATCTGACGTGGTTCGGGCACAGCCTGAACCGGTACTCGGACGTGGTGCGCCTGTACGACTACTTCCTGTGCGCGGCGCCGCTGTTCCCGGTGTACGTGACGGCGGCGCTGGTGCTGCAGCGCGCGCCGGAGGTGTTCGCTTGCGAATGCGACATGGCCATGATGCACTGCCTGCTCTCCAGGGTAAATCTCTGCGAAAGAATGTGTGTGTGTGAGTGCTTGCGTGCGTGTGAAAGAGAGAAAGCGTGTGCGTGTGTTACATTTTCCATTTCTAAGTTCTAATTTCTGACGCAAATATATAATAATTTTTGATCTAACAAAAAAACCCACACGCACAGTGCTTTTGGAGTGCCTCGTTTTTCACTTCGTTGATATTGAAACGAAAATAACGTGAAATTTATTATATTCATGGTCACACATTCAGCAATTTAAAAGAATTGAGAAATCCAAATGAACTGATTGTACTAAAGCAGTGTGGACTAGGATTTTCTCCTGTATCGCGGGAGCAGTTTACATACATAGATTTCACAAAGGCAAACATTCAGACATCCAGAGAATCATCCAATACATAGAAGGTACCGATTCTGCAGCAAGTATTTCTAATCAGCCAAACAATCGACGCAAGCGAAGTTCAAATATTAAAAAGGACAAGGGTTGCTTAACGGAATCATTTAAGCAAGAATGGAAGGATAGCCAGAGAAAATACAAAACGAATAAAGTAATGGAGTACATCAGTAGAAATGAAAAAATATAGCCTGCCCTGGTCCTAAAAGCTGCCGTCAAAAATGTTATGATAGGATATCAGAAGAGAACCAAAAAATAATTTTTGAGATGTTTTGGAGGATTGGCAATCATTAAAGATAATGAGATTTTATCACCAAATACGTTATAAAAATACCAAAAGAGAATTTAACTGTTTCTGAAAATTCGATATTATTTACTATTACTGGTTGGAATCAAATGACAATGTAGAGATAACAAGAATATCTGTTTGTAAAACAATGTTTCTTAGAACCCTCTCGATATGTTTCAACTATGTTTATACCTCTAGAAAAATTTGATAGTGGAAAAGTGTTTGTATAATCCGATCGCTATCCAAAAACTATAACATTCAATATGGTACGTGGTGTGATTGATCATACTATTGAAGCTCTCGCACGTTTTGAAGCTCATTACACTCGCAAAAATTCGAAATGTAAGTTTTTGGATGGCACATTGCCATTTCCCAAGATGTACAAGCATTATGAAGAGTGGTTTGATTCAAATGTTTATTCTAGCAAAGCGTTTAATGTACGACAATATCGTGATATTGTAAATAAAGAATTAAATATTGCCTTTCAAAAAAGAAGCATGCGAAAAATGTCACACATTTGGAAATAAAACACAGGCTACCGAAGAAGAAATACAAAAATAAGGATATCTTTTAAAAGGAAAGGAAACAGCTAGAAAATTCAAAAAAAAGACAAGGAATTATTTCTTTAAGCAATGCAAAGAAAGAGGTTTTAACGTGCAATTCTGATTTAAAGAAATGTTAAATGTACATTCTATTGTAAAAAAATCGTCCATGTAAAATTTTACCATTTTTGATATGGTATCTTTACAAGGTTTGCTATTCTTGGAATCAACAGACAGCTAAAAGGGAAATTAATTAAATTGCAAGCTGTGTTTATATATTTATTGAAATGACAATACCCAAAGGTATAAAAGAGTATCGTTTCTGGTCTGACAATTGTGGAGGCTAGAATTGAAATAGAGTCGTATTTTTAATGTCTATGTAGGTATGTAACAAATTTTATATAAGTATTATTCATCGTTTCTTGTATTTGGTCATACCCAAAACGAAGGGGACAACATGCATGCCTTGATTAAGAGACAGACTAAAGACAGGATTATTTATACCCCAGACCTAAAACAGATGGCAAGCCCTATAATGTCATTGAAATGTCACAGGAGTTGATTCTTGATTTTAAAACAGATTTCAAGCACTGCAATAATTGGACAACTACTAGCGATGGAACTAAAATGTCATGAGCAAAGTAAGTGAAATTAAAATACAAGGAAATTATCACTTTAAAATTATATTTAAGTACAACTATGAAGACGATGCTTTTAAATGCATTAACTGCATGAATAAACCGAAGAGCACACGAAACAAAAAAGAAAAGGTGGATTTGCTTCTAGTCAGTGCTTATAAAAAACCCCTGCCAATTGACAAAAATAAACACAGAGACCTTATGGATCCTGGTAAAAGTCACGTCAGATACCAAAAGAATATCACTTATTTTATAATAGTCTGATTACAGGCAATATTAATAACTATGATTAAATATATGAATAATAATATTCATCTATTGTTTTTCGTGAAAATATTTTATTTTATTGACTGACTTGTACTTCCAAAAATTGATTGGATTAAGAAGAGGAATAAGACGTTTTATTTTGTTAATTAGCTTTAATACTAAAAAAAAAACTTGTTTTCTACCTTTATGCGTGGTGCAACAATGTTTTATGGAAGGTATATATAATATATAATATACTTTAACCACGTGATTATGAATTGAATAGGTATTTAATGAATAATAAATAACAAGAAATAAAGTTGTTTTCTTTTATATGAAAAATAAACAAGCTAAAAGCTTGATTATTTTGCAGATATATCAATTTATGCTACTTCTTTGTTGGACATTAAAATCAGTGTATAATGAGTCAACGTATTTATTATTGTTTATATTGTAGATACAATCTCAGTAAATTAATCCAAGAAAATGAAATACAATTCTGTATTTGTGTTTTTATAAACCTAATAATTTTTCCTCAAGATATGGTAAATATACATATACATTGTAAACGATTGTATGTGGTAGTTAGCTCATTATAGGCCATAGTTTATATGATATATACTAAGGTAACTACATTGTCTTGGTAACTCACTAAAATATGTCTACTCTTTTATTATCTAAGGGTCTCAAACCTTATAATAGTACGAATTAAAAAAAAATCAACATTCTAGGACCAAAACTGAAAAAGTTATAAACAATTAATCTTTGACAGGTGTTCCTGTGAAATTTGAATTATGTAGTTGACTCATTATACTTAGGCGGTATCGATATTATACAGTCAAAAACATACTCTCAGGTATATACATTTTTATTTAAATAGAAATAACTCTACAGTAGTATTTTCTTCCGTATCGTGTCAACTAAATCCGTAACAATTACTTGTAGGCTTTACAAACACTCGTACCGTGCGAGAATCGAACCCGCGGCCCTGTATTGCCGCAACGAAACGCTCAAATTTTTAACACTAAATTATACTTATTATCTATTTAACCAGCGCGAAAATAGAGAATGCGGTTTAAACTGAATCAACTGATTCTTTTTTAAACCATAGATGTGGTAGTAAGTAATTTTCATTTTTCTTTTTGTTTTTAAATAATAAGGATTTGGTTCGAAAACTATATATACATTTTATCAATATTATATTTAGTTACATTATAATTTATTATTAAACCTGGGACTTGTTTGATTTTTGTTTCGATTTTATTTGTAAAACTTCTTATATTCACGCAGAAAAGACGTTGACACAAGGTTAGATTTTTCTTTATTAATATAGGTAGGTCATATAAAGTGTGAATTTAATCGATGCAAATTTTTATGATATTACTCTCTACGAATATTGTTATATAATCTGTTTTTACTTTCCTTATTTTAATAAACAAAAACTTCGCCCCCGGGTGGGCTCGAACCACCAACCTTTCGGTTAACAGCCGAACGCGCTAGCCGATTGCGCCACGGAGGCGATGGGAGTGGTGTAGAAAATATCTTCTATGTGCTGCTTACCAAATTAATACGCTATTATTAGTTCTCAATACCAATAAATACACGACAAAAGCCAATGTCATTGAAATAAATATACAGAGTTAAGCAATAGTCTTATCGTAAGAAATAATATTAGTTTTATTTCTTGGTTAATAATAAAATCAAATTTTTCCTAACACACAATTTCTATACACAGTTGACATGGAAATACTAATTTTAAATTATTAAAATATTTGATTAATGTGTGATTTTTCAATCACCACATAAAATATATTCATAGGCTAAAAAAATACAAGATAAACAAATTAAAAATGACAGTTGTATAAATAAAATAATTCAATTATTTCACTTTCATGTCCAGTGAGGTTATCATTAATTGGATGGATAACTTTTATCTGATGATAGAAAAATCAGCACTTAATTAGCTTTAATAACGTTAGTCTATGAGAAAGTAATATCTCTATACATTAAAATCAATTATGTACATACAATAATTCTACAAAGAACCCGACGGGTCAATCAGGACAGGACTATTGTAGAAGGTCTGAATTGGTATCACAATGGGTGGACCCCTCTAGAGGGTACCCACTGATCTGATGGTTTTTGAGAAATATTTTACTGATGTTCCGAACTTAACCACTAAATCACTGAATTCTTCTCTTCTCCTGCCGTCGCCGAATCATTACTTAAACAAAAAATGTAAATGCGTGTACAAAGAATTTTACATTTCATAAAATATCATCAAAAGATATTTTAAAATATTTTAAAACTATTGATATTAAGAAAACTGCAGATCTGTAGGGGATTTCCGTTGAAGTTATTGCGTGTATAATAGATAAAATCGCGCCTCATTTAGCTATTATTTTTAATACTAGTATCGAATATGGTATGTTTCCTGATTTAATGAAGGATAGTAATACCTTTATTCAAACCTGGTAGTACATTAGACCCCGCCAATTTTAGACCAATTTCTGTACTGCCAACACTTAGTAAGATTTTTGAAAAAATTGTTATTCACTTAATCAAATGTTAATTTTTTTAAATGTAAATAGTTTACTTCATAAAGATCAATTCGATTTCCCTTTGGGTCGCTCGACAACTGATGCTGGTGTTGAGCTGATTAAATATATTTTGAATGCATGGGAGAATTCACAGGATGCTTTGGGTATATTTTGTGACCTATCCAAAGCCTTCGGTTATGTTCACCATGAAACATTGATCAGGAACTACAACATAACAGTGTAAGAAGTAATGCTCTTAAAGTAATTGTTTCATATTTAAGTAACAGAACGCAAAAAGTTGTCATTAATAATATGAGCACTGCCGGGTCGATAGTACAAATGGGCGTGCCTCAAGGCTTAATTTTCGGCCCCTTTGTGTTTCTTGTATATATTAATTACTTAATATAGTATTATTTGCTGATGACACTTCATTAATTTTCAAATTAAAACGACAATTATTAAAATATGAAGAAGTAAATAATGCTGTATCTAATTTAGTAAATTGGTTTAATGTCAATAATTTGCATTTAAACGGCACTAAAATGATATGTATGAAATTCATGACTCCAAATGTCAAACAATTAAATACTAATGTAATTTTAAATGGGGAGGGACTGAGTCTTGTCGATACCACCATTTTTCTTGGTATAACACTAGACGCGAAGCTTCAATGGAACCCCCTACAGCATATGCTGTAAAAAAGATTAGAAATCTTACCAATGTGGAAACAGCTAGACTTGTTTACTTTAGCTATTTCCATAGCATAATGTCGTATGGTATTTTGCTCAAGCCTTTTACACGCAACTGACACTGAAATTATATATGTTTTACAGAAGAGTGCCATAACAGCAATCTATGATTTATAAGCTAAAGAGTCGCTCCGACAAAAATTTAAGGTTATTAATATATTAACTTTGGCCTTACAATACATTTATGAAAATGTAATGTACGTACACAAAAATAAAAGTAGTTTTACAAAAATTTGTGATATTCATTCTGTAAATACTAGGAACAGACACAAGCTAGTAGTACCAGTTACTCGACTCCACCGAGTCAGTAATTCATTCTTGGGGTGTTGTATACGCTTTTACAACAAAATCCCAGAAAATATACAAAATTCAACCTGCCCATAGTTCAAAAACTTTATTAAACAAAGTTTATATAAAAAGGGGTTATTATAATATTAAGGAATTTATGGATGATAATAACCCCTGGAAATGAGGTAATCGCTACCAAGTTATTTCTACTTTGTTTTGTTTGGTTAATTGTGATTACATGACTGTAAGCTGTTATTTAAAAAAAAATTAATGGTGAATTATATATGCATACTTTTATCTCACCAAAAATATTTTCTAAAAGAATAACGAAATAGCCTAGAGATTTAATATAGAAAAGGTCGTTTTAAGTGTTTTTAAACTTGTTGACAATTTTTTTTTCGAAAATCAAAATTTTTTTAAAAATAAATATCACATAGTGAGAGTGAAGACTCATCTATTAACTAATTGAGATTTTTTATGGTGTATTTTAATGAAGTCAGTTCTTTAATATTTTTAAAATTGTAACTGCCTATTTGCGGGTTTCATAAGGACCGGTTTCTTAAGGTTTTAAGTCACAACATCATGTTTATTAAATTATATTTTATTTCAGTTACCAGATGACTTGCCTTTTGAAGATATCTTGGTGACAGCAAAAAAGCTTTATGACGAAAACGATCCAACCGATTTGGAAGGTGAAGTCGCCGCTCTGGAGAGGAGAGAGTTAGTTTCTGTTTTTTTTTTTATTCTCAATTGAGAATCAAAATGCAGATGCGCTATTGTTAGCTTTATTTATATATCCTGTTGATGCCCTAATGCGAAATTGGGCGGTTTTTATAGCAAATAAATAAGAATAAAAATCTTGTCTATTTTTCAATACTTATGACATGGATATTTTCATGTAATTGGCGTTATCTGTAATAAATGATTAGGAGCCGTCTTGTGCCATCGCTCGCGCGATCATGCGTACGTTCGACGAAAATCATTGTGCGACCGTGCGTTTAAACATACTCATATCTGCGGAATGTCCTATTGAATGTCGTGCGATCATGCGATGCGACCGGATTGTCTAATCTTCGTCGTGCGATTATCGACGCATCGTATAGATCGGATGATCGTCCGATCAAACATACTAATCAATACTGATTGTCCTAATGGTGCTCGCGCGACCAAGGGGCGGAGACAAGGGAGGGGTTTTCGTAAAAATCTTCTTCGTTTTGCCGTACGTCGTAATACTGATTGTGAAATTCACCGCACTGATTTCTGTTTTTATATAGTATATTATGTGGTGTACATTTTCTTTTTTTAATGCTATTCACTATTAAAGAAATATTGGTCGACAGCAAAAACTGTGCATCTATGTTATGAGTCATTTTGAGAGTGATCGCATCGCTCTAAAATAGGACACACTACTTCTAATCGTGCGAGCGGATTCATCGGGCGATGAAATCGCATCGCATCGCATCATCCATCGCTCGCGCGATGGCAATGCGACGGTGCCTTAGGTATCAACTTTTTAAAAGTATAGTTAAAGATTGAAAAAATTGACGAAAAATTGAACTTTTTTTGCTGTGCGTAGTTGTAATGACGTACGGTTGCAGAGAGGAGGCGCGGCGGCTCGACGAGGAGCGGCTGCGGCAGCGGCGGGCGGTGCGCGCGGGCGGCGGGCGGGGTGCGGGGCGCGGCGCGGGGCGGGGCGGCGGGCGCGCGTGGCGCCTGCTGCCGCGCAGTCCGTTCGCGCGCGGCGCCGTGCTGGCCGCGGCCGCCGCGCTGCTCGCCGTCTACGCGTACTACCGCCCGGACCTCTTCACCAGGTAGCGCCGCGGCTACGCACTAGTGTTGTTCGCATTCTAGCCCCGCTACAAGCTACGCAGCGTGCAAACAACCTTGAAGCGTGCGACGACCTCGAAACTCTTATAAAAACTTCGTATACGTTACTGTGCTTCGTATTCCAGCCCGCAGTATGAAATGACCTTGAAATTCACACTATTATCGTATACGCTACTGTTATTCGCATTCTAAACGCAACGTGCTACGCAGCAAGCATACTGTGCGACGAACTTACAAAATCATCGTAGACACTACTATTGTTCGCATACTAACACGCAGCGTTCAACACTGTGTACAACCGCTTCGGAACACTTACACTAGTATCGTATACGCTATCATTGTTTGCATTATAACCGGGAGCATTCAGCGTATCGTCCAACTACCTCAGATCTCTCACACTAGTATCTTATACACTAAAATTTCCATTCTAACCCGCAACATGCAATGACTTCGGAACTTTAACACTATTATTGTATGCGCTACAATTCGCATACTACCCCGTAACGTGCTACGCACCGTGCATCGTAGCATGCTACGACTTCAAAACTTTTATACTAACATTATATACGCCACTGTTCGCATTCTAGCCCACAACGTGCTACACAGCGTGCATCGTAGCATGCAACGACCTCGGAACTTTTACAAAAGCATCGTATACACTACTGTTTGTAATCCAGCCCACAGCATTCAACGCAGCGTGTAATAATCTCGAAACTCTCACTCTAGTATCGTATACGCTACTGTTGTGCGCATTCTAGCCCGCAGCGTGCAACGATCTCGGAACTCTAACTTTTCTAGCGGGCTGTTTCGCTCAAATCGATTTACTATTTATTGCTATTTCAATACACCCGGTGAACGCAAATAAAACATGGTGTTACTTCAAAAGAATAAAGCAAGCAATATGGCAGAATATTTCAAACTCTTACTTTGAAACTTCGTCGCTGAATACCTATCAAATTATTACGACTCGGAACACACTGTCAAAAGTTTGTCTTGTTCCTGATAGTTTTTTAAACCTTTGTGCTTGTCACACATTGCCATGGACTTTTTATGAGATAAGGTGTAATGCAAATTATAATTAATCAGTATAGTGGAACTAAATTCGTAAGCCAAGCCTACTGCAGTTTCAATTTTTGGAGCTAGATATGCTTCCATGTTTTATTTGCGTTCACTAAATATGCCTATATATATATATATATATATATATATATATATATATATATATATATCGCATTGTCATTTGAAATGTCTTGATAGGTAGTGTAAGAAGATAAACTTGTACGCCAACACTGTCAGTGTCTCCATACCTATAGTATATTAACATATTCATTAAAGTATGAATACTTTTTTAAAGAATGAATGAGGCGTTTTTGTGGGTAGTTATATGCTTTAAATACTGTAGTAAATAATTACTATTTGATACACTGCCACTGTCATAACCCTACTCGGTTAACTTTGCCCAGAAATTGATTTATAAGGATTGAAAAAGGTTTTTGTTCAGTAGTTCTCCAATATATAATCACAAATGTTTTTTTTATTAAGTAAAAGACTAACTGAAATTAAAAAAAGTATATTATATATACCATGGCTACATAAGTATATATGTGTATTATAATTTTGTGTAGAATTTACTTGGGTAAAAGTGTTTTATAATTTATGGCTATAAAGTATAAAGGTAATGCAAAATTTAGGCAAATTATTATTTAATTGTCATTTCGCTGCTGACACAAAAGACCGCAGCGTACCAATGCGTACGCATGACATGTGCAGTACAAGGAACGCGTCACACCGGGTGCGTGTTAAACTCATACAAATTGCAGATACTGTCATATTTATATATTATTCCGTGGGTGTCGTAAGAGGCGATAGAGGGAAACTGTGTCAGGAGATGAGCAATAGCATCTTCCTGAGAACAGAACGATTAAAAATAGTGTGGTTGAAACGGTAATGCGGCTGTAACGTGTAAAAGTAGTGATATTTGAAACAGCTACGCACATGTCACGTCAATGTATCGCGTACGCATTCGTTGTGCTCCGGTCATTATATTATAACAAGCTGTAACATCCTATTTCACACCCTCAGGGGTTTACCAAAATCCTTTCTTAGTGGGTCTCTACGTCGAGAAAGGAGTATATATTATGCCAAATTTCAAGTCAATCAGTTGTATAGTTTTAGAGATCTCGTGATGAATGAGTGAATAAGTGGTATTTCGCTTATGTACATATATAAAGACGATTAATTTTACAAAAAAACCTTTAAATGAATGAATAAATTTCTTTATTATTTTTTATTATCTTTCTTATATCTCAGCGGCTAAATAACTGTGCTATTTAATGTAGTAAGTAATTTATAGTCACAGCTATCAGCAGCATTTTTAAGGAATTTTTCATATTTCTTTCATTAAACATTTTATTATAGCTGTAGTTAGTAAATGGGCAATATGTGGGGGAAATAATGAGACTGCTCTCACAAATAATATATTGCAGTATGTCAAATATTAGCAATATACTATACACAAAATTTATTTTAGGGAATGTGTTATTGGACCCAGTATAATAAGCATGTGTATGCAATACTCAGTCGTGAATATTGCAATAAATAGACCTTTAGAAATATATTATAAACTATATTCGGCTTTGCAGAGCGTCGTCTATGTCTCACGAAGTACTTACACCTTGGTATGTGTCCCCGTCTCCCACAATCCTGTGCTAAAATGACGGATGGTTAGTAATTAGACTAATGAAATTAGTATAGTTTGTTCGCAAGGAAATATTTAAAAATCTATTTATAGTCAGGATCGTGTCATACGGTAACCAGTAGTCCCGGCAGGCTAGGCAGGGGCCTACCCCTCTCGGTGTCAGGCGTGAGTGTTAATGTTATATTTTTATGTTTCTTAATGTCTTTACTTTCATTTTTCTTTTTTCCATCGTCTTTCTAAGCTCTACCTGCACGTCCAGGTGTAAATATTTCTTCAATTTTCAATCTACAAACAAGGATGTTTTTTTTTTCCACTTTGTAGATGAAGCTTGTATTAAGTTATTGGTTGTACGTTATTTTCAAACGGTTTATAAAAGAGTTGCTGTAGTAACTGCAACTGCTAATCAGTAGCACACGTCTAGCACGTCGCATGGCGAGAGATTGTAGATGTTTACTCGTTTCAAATCAGTATGTTTCAAATTGTGTCTTGTGTGGACTACTAAAGAAAATTCCGGAAATTTCGTCGCGGATTTTCCTCGGCGGAACGCCGATGGACCGACCGATCTGCCGCGTAGTGAACGGGCACACTACGCGGCAGATCGGTTCGGATCGGATCGGATTAGTCAATAAAATATAACGGCGTTCCGCCGTTGAAGATCCGCGACGGAATTTCCGTTCAGTGTGGCGTAGGCCTTACTGATATTCAAGTGCAGCGATATTTAGCTATTAATAAGTAACAAGTTTTTCATTCGTTTCTTTAGTGTAGTTGTGGTTGATAAGTGTACCAGCAAAGACCTCTAAGGCTATCACATTTTATGGAATTCGTAAAAAGAATACTATTGTAAAGTATTGTTTTAATATATAAAACTAAGTTCATCTTGAAATAGACTTTACTAGGGACTTGAGGACTAGTCTTTGAAACTTTTACAATGTAAATAACTACAAAACGTTACACAGGTATGAACAGAGAAGACGCTCTGTAAGGCCGAAGCTAGCCTATTTTGGTCGATTAGTATATAAGGCTTGATGTAAACTCTACAGTAGGGTACTGTCTATAATTTAATGTATTACGTTTCCTTGTTTTGTTAAAAATGTGATATTAGTAACTATTACCGATAAGGTATTGAATATTTTTTTATTTATTTAATAAGTCGTTCCCCTTATGTTTGATTAAAACTCTGTCCTATATGTTTAAAGTATTAACCCTTTGTTAATTATTAATCCAAAAATTATAACATTAACTATTATTTATTGGTTTTTTAAAAAGTATGAAAGAGTTTCTCATAGGTAGGTACTCTAAAAAAAGTTGATATGTATTGCACATGTTTTTGAGATGGTGTGGGTATACGTGATTCTATGTGTGAATCGCCTTGTTATGTTGTGTTTTCATATTATTTACTGACACTGTATTCTAGACTGCCTTTAATGTTAAAACCAGCTGTTATATCGGACATGGTATACATTTGTCGCACAACATATGCTATGTTATTGACAGTTTCTGAAATTATTTTTATCGCCGTTGTCTAAAGCGGCCTGAATAATGTTGCCAGTCACAGTCTCTACATGTGGACAGTGTTTCAATTTCCTTTGACTAAAAATTTGTCGCCTTTATTAACTTATTATTTTAATATTATGTTTATGGATATCATTTCACTCAATCTTATACGGAGCATGAACATTTTCAACAAATCTTTATTCTAAATACTATACCGATCAATAAGGCTCAATTTACATTGCGGCGGAATGGAATGGAAGCGAATTTTTGTAAAGAAATTGTACATAGTAAAATGAATTTTATGTTAATTGTGTAACGTGCAAACTAGATATGATAAAAGAAGTCGCGCGTATTCCGCGGAATTCTCGAGAAATTTTTCTTTTTTGAATTTTTAGAGAATTCTTTTTTGACTCATGTATAGTTTGCACGTTACACATCTATACAAATAAATAAAATTGGAGTGTCTGTTTGTAATATCAAAATAACAGCTTTTTCTTAATGCATAGGCAAGTATATACGATACTTAAAAAGACATTTTTAAAATTTTTGTCTGTCTGTCTGTCTGTTTGCTCCGGCTAATCTACAAAACGGCTGGACCGATTTTGACGGGACTTTCACTGGTAGATTGCTGATATTATAAGGAGTAACTTAGGCTACTTTTATTTTAGAAAATAAATTAGGGTTCCGTGAAAAAAATTAAAACCCTTGAAATTGTGAACAAAATCCAATTCAAAGGTAATTAATAAAGATAGGTATAATAATAATAATATATGATATACATTCAACATAATC